ATCGAACGCATCAGCCACTGTTCAAAATTCATACCGTGCATCATTGTGAGCAATTTTTTATGCAAATTATTAAAACGTTTAGAATCAAAGACCTGAAAAATTAAATGTAAGATATATACAAAAAGATATACAAAACTAAATATGTGAAATTACACGACCAATATCTTCAGAATCTTTTTCAAATTTATTTGTTACAAATAAAAAAAAAGACAAAATATCGACAAAATGATTAGAATTTCTAACCACATACAAAAATTTACCTCATTCATATCAGCGAAAAGACGTGTGTCTAAATATGCGACAAGACCATATTTGAGGTACTGAGAATCTTCTGAAACACGATAATTTGTATGGCTTTAACAATAAGATCAGAAGTCCGTTTTACAGAATACAGAAAATGAGTCAGATTTTACTGGCACTATACCCCATTCACCGACATGAGAAAAAAAGAATAATTTTTTGGGAAAAATGTCCTGCAAAAAATTGAACGGTTAACAAACGAGATATCATTCCTCATTAAATGAAAGCAGTTAATTACTGAAAGATTAAAATATTATACCAGCTTCCTTAAAATAAGCAGTCATCTGCTACAATTATCTAACGGAATGATAAACTGAGTAAGAAACTACTTCAATATATTAAACTCAATCACTGAACTAGATCATAAAATTAAGAGAGAATGTTTCATAACCATTTTCAAAAAGTTTGTCATCCAAAATTACAGTATAGAGCTGCAACATAACATCCACAGTTTTGAAGTCGTGAACAGAATATGAATCAACTGCTGACAATGAGCATAAAACTCCCATGGCCAATTTGTAAGCCCGTCCATGATCCAATGCCTATAATAATCAAATGATCAATTTCACTTACCATAGGAAAAAATTCGCTCAAATTGAATAATAGATTATAAGACAACTCTTCTCGATTTCGAATTCTACTGCGACTATTGTAAAAGATTCAGTGGTTCAAAAAACCAACTATGTGTAGGCATATACGCATGTTTCTGTGAAAGAAGTGAATTATTTCCAAGTTCAAACAAGAAAAAAAATTACTATCTTCCATGTATAAATAGCATGAGCAAGCCAATTGCTCCGTCCAAAACAACATGATACGTATGAGCGTTGTAAATCTTCGAGTTGTTCCATCATATTTTTCGTTAATGTTTCAGTAAAAGTTGTATTGTAAAAAAATTCTTGTAATAAAAACCCATATTTATTTTCCGGTAGCTCTGATAATAACGACGCGAAACAATACGCTTCATGCCAGTTCTAGATATAATCATGGAAATTGTTGCGAATTCAAATTCACTGAAATTTGCTGCAAAAAAATCGAAAACGAAAGTTCATTTTTTTCAAAGAAACCCTTATTTGTAAGAAAGGAAATATAATAGAAAGATATAATGAAATAACAAACCCTGTCAGCCAACTTGAAGAAAAATTTCAAAAAATTTGCTGTAGTACAAATTCTAAGTGGAAGGTACGGCATGCGAGCAACTGCACTCAATACCGGTCTACAAATATTCAGTATAAAGTACTTTGGGATAGACAATTATCAAAACATGTTGAAGAAACAGAATCACCTGCACAATGTCAAACAATTACTGTATATCGGTGCCGGCGTGCAAAACTGCAATGAACAGGAAACGAAAAATAGTGACGTAGAGCTGGACACGTGCACCGATAGCAGTAGCACGAATGTTTTGAAGAAATTCTCTAAAAACGTGTGATTTTAATTGCTGAAACCTCATAGGAACAGAAATAGATGCTGGGAAAAATATGGTACTGATATTCTACTTTATACTGACCATAAGAATGGTGGTTATTGCATAACTATGCTACCAACTTACCAATATATTTTAGTAAAATACGATCGATCAGCCTAATTCCCTACTAATACTTAGATTTTAGAAAATTGGTCAAGAAATTTATTAAATCAAATACTACTTGACCAAACCTCTGGAAACTAATGAAAGTCTTTAAGGATTCATCCACAAAAGTCATTACAGAAGTAGTACATACTTTCATCGTCTCCCGAACCAGCAGAAGCAATACGTTCTAGGAAAGACCCAAAATCTTGGATAAAATTGTTTAGTTTTGCATCTTCAATAAGACGCCAATAAATATTACTGCTACCAAGAGCAGCCAGTACGCTTGATAAAATGATCTGAAAACATTGTCAGTTAACTGAAATTACGCACCGATATGAATTACCACCACAGTAACTAACACGCATTACTTTAACACAAGCCAGATAAGAATCATTAATGAAGGAAGTTCCACTTCGGTGGATTTTCTCAGTGAACAACAACGTTTTCAAGCAAACATATACGAGATAATGCCTCGTAAAATTAGATCTAACAATGGGCTTCGACTCCTGTAAAGAGATACCTCCCTGCAATACTGCTAGTAACAGTCTCCTCTCCTTCTTTTCCTCGTTGTTTCAACCTTTTCTTTTATGTTTTTCACTCTTACCTGCTTTCTTATTTCTTTTTTTTAACTAGAGAAATCCATTACTGACCCCCTAAGTGGTATTAGGACTTCAGTAGAATTCAAAAAATGATTTCAGACATTAATTGATGAATGCACATTGATCTCAGTTTGCGAATGAATTGTTCAAGAACCCATTTTTCAGAGAAATAAATACTGATGTCAAATTATGTAGTCATCTCAAATTTGATATCTCCGTATTCAAGAAATTTTCTCGAAACAGAAATGGCTGTTCTGTGGTATATGAGGTACAAGAAAAGGCAAATAAAATAAAGCGTAGCATGTAAACAATTCATTAAACCTTAAAATTATTCTATTAGTGAAGATAATAATGAAAAACATATCTAAAACTTACTGAATAATCTGTCTTTAGCAATGCTGCATCGATAGAAAATACCTTTTGAGCAGCCCAAACTCGTATCCATCCATTTGGATGATCTAAGGCTCTCACAAACAGCAGCTGTACCCAAAACCAAGGCAAGCTATTATCATTTTCCATGGTGGCTTCACATCTGCATAGTATACGGTTGAAAATGGGAAGAACTGGCTCCACCAAGTGAAACTACAAAAAGATTTCGACTAATGAAATCACTCAAACTATTTAACCATTTATTTATTAGGTAATATGCAAATGACCAAAGGCAATTACTATATAGGAATATAATTATCAGTAATAAGGTTTCATTGTTTTTTGATTCCAGAAAACAATTTTTTTCATCTCTGTATTAACTAACCTGTGATTCCTGCAGAACATCCATCAAAATAAAATAATCTTTCCAAACTGTTCCAGTCTTCATTTCCTGCAAAGCACACAGTGCAGCTTTTCGAACAAATTGACTCTGACCATAACAAATAAAACGGTGAATGATTTTTTCAATCTGAAATAGTTTTAAATAAGATTTTCCATCAGTTACAACATAAAAAAGTTGCATAAGTAATCCTAACATTTTATACAGAAAATAAACTCAACCAAAACAATTTAAATGTTCTAAGAAACTTGGAAATTCATTTATACTATAAAACATTGACGAGAACTTTAAGAGGTCATTTAATGATCAGAAAAAGAAGAAAAAAGTATTCCCTATGAGTGATTAAAGTAACAGCTATTGTCGCTATAAAAGCTAGTTTAGATAAGATATAGTTATTTCGAACTTTGGCGTCCTCAAAAATGGAAAGCAGCAGTAGTGAATACAGAGAAACAGAGCTAGAGATCAGGCTTCAGTGAATTTTACCCGAGTGACATTTAAGATCTTCATGTTAAATGAAATTTTTTCGTTTTTTTTTTTTTTTTTTTCAGAAACTTAACATCTTCATTAAAAAGTACTCACTCTATCGGTAAGATTTGGCAAGGCTCTTCTTGTTATTGTAAAGAGAGCCGATACCATTGTTTCCATTTCATCAACAATCGCATTGTCAAATAGCCTGAATAAAAATTAGATTAGTTGTTGCAGCTACCAAGAACATATGACAATTCCGGTTTTCGACGGGTTGCATGGCACAGAGTATTATTCAATTTTTCTATGAAGTGGAAATCCACAAAAATAAGTAAAAGCTATTAAGACACATAAGGATATTTGCATCCGTCATTTCTTGTAAGCAAAATAATGTTTCTTTTGGGCTAAAATAAAAGAAAACATGCCGTAGAAATGACAAAGCTTCAGTTTCCGAACAGTGCTTGCAGATTTCGGTCACCAAATCTGAATTCTTCTGTTCAACAGCTGTCTTCATTCTACTGCTACAACATAAATCATTCCTTTACTATAAGATTAGATCAGTTATTCAGAATACTTGTAAAAAACTAAAAATATTGAAAGTATCACTTCCATAATGTAAAAGTTCCTCTACTATTATATGGTTGAGTTAATAACATTAATGCAACTCACAGTAAATCATATTTGCTTCCTTGTCGTTCTTCCAGATGTTTCCTAGACATATCTGAAACAAAACATTCTTAGTTGCATAATTAATAATATTTCATAATTCCTTCATCACATTTTCTTCCCATCCTTCTCATCTCAGATCCATTTGGACCACAATATTTTTGGGATAAAAGGATTTGGAGAGAAATTTCATAAGACTTTATCATTCTGCATGAATTCGAATTTAAAAGGCATGGAATTTATGGAAATCCCACAAGTTACACAGTTTGAAACTAGTGTTAAGACACTACTGCTTCCGATGTATATGTTTTATTGGTACTAAAAATTTACCAATTTATATAAATTTCAAAAGAACACACTGTTAATTTTTTTTCAGCATGTATGTGTTTATTATGTTTTTGTCGGTTAGTGAATAGATAGAAAGCAAAAGCGGTGAATAAAGATTTCCATTGTTGCACAGATTAATTTATAAAATTCCCATCTTCAACTTCAGTACCATATATTGCGTAAAGTGCCTTCGTATACTGTCGAATCATCTTCCCTTTTCCTTAGTTTCAAACTACGTAACTTAGCGTTCAATGTTTTGAATCCTACAATTTCCGCTTCTAGAATTAACTTGCTGAGCAGAAGAATGCTAAACAATATCACAGCAGCAACTGGTGGTTCAGCCCAATTGCAACCGAATGAATCTCGAATCAAAAAATTCAGATTCCCGGACAAACAGCTAATGGAATTTCTACCGTGTGGTAATTGGTGGATGTCCTTCAAAGCCTGTGTCGTCCGCCGGAAAGGACAAACAGTAAAAAGACGAGATGCACCGCCTTTCCCCTTCGCCCAGTCTTCCACAAAGTACGTTACTCTTGCGTGATTCTCCTACAATGGTTATCGGATTTTTTATCATAGCAGTCAATAAAACTCGAGTTTTCAAAATGATGACATATATTAATATTAAGAAACACTGCAAGTTAAATAACTTTTTTCCGAAAAGATATACAAATTTATGAAGAAATATTGATATCGGCATGAGAGAACAGTAGTGAAAATCATTGTTCACTTTCAGCTTACAATCAAAGCAAAATTACATCGAATGGAAGTAGACCAGTGCATTTATAATTAAGCAAAAATAAAAACAAGTACAGTACATTTATGATCAAACAAAAATAAAAAGATAAAGTGATGAGTTTGTTGCTTACTAAGCTATATGATGTAAAATAATGGAATTTGCAAGCAAAGCAACGATATATAATTACAATGATACAGTCAACTCAGTACTCCGAACTTCATCCTAAACTCTAGACAGGATTAAGAACCACTTAAGCTAGCAGAAAAAGTATTACGATTTGACAAAGACAAGCACGTTAGAATTCTTAATAAAACTCTAACTCTAATGATAATATATATTCATGTTTATGCATAACTATGAGGCCTGATAGGTTTCAGTGGATCAAACAACTTGGGATCTCTCAGATACTTTGGATCCTTAACGAATACTGGCATGTAACCAGCACGACGACTCAATGCAATTGTTTCCAATAACCTTCTCTGTTGTCCATTACAAAGTCCAGTGATGTGTCTGAAACAGTCCCTTCACACCATGAAACAAAAACAGAGGCGAAGCAACATTTCATATTTTAATTTTTGAAAAAATGTAGAAAAATAGGTCTTACTGATCATAAACTCTTCCAGAAAATGTTGAGACGAACTGCTGCAATAAGCGAGCATTTTTGTAATCTAACTCAATTTTCTTTGCACATAAAAAACACTGTTTTACTGGTTTACAGTACGGATCTTTTCGCATCTGCACTACTCCATCGTCATCCTCCACCATATAGTCACCTGTCGTTACAGCACTAGACGACAACGACGCTCCATTTATCAAAATAAATCGCCTCAAACATGTTCTCAACGAAAGCATCCCTAAATTTGCATTTGGAAAAAATCAGTAAAAGTCGATTCTCATATTACCAGAGTCAGTACGCCTTTAACCAAGAAATACCTCCGAATGACAAATCACATAAATTTCAAATAGTCAGATAATTGATCAGCTTAAAACGATTTCGAGGATATTGACTTTCTCAATATAGAAACAACAGTAACAGTAAAGGATCTGCTTTTGGAAACAGAAACATATGAAAGAGGAACACAATATGTCAATACTTTTATTCCATACAGACACGCACAATCATCGATATCATACAAATAACATCGATAACCAAGTAGTAAAGTTTTCCACACCTTAGAACTGGTACTCTAGAGGTTTCAAAAAAAAAATATTAGTAAAAGCTAACGCACTATAAACGGTATATATTCAAAGAATGCTCGGAATTTCGAATTGAAGATTTTCATCCAATATTTAATCTAAAAATCTGCACAATCACGAATTTCAAAAAAAAATATTACTGGCGCTGAAGTAAAAAAGGGTCACGTCCGAGTTGATCAAACCCTGTAATAACAGATAAACAACGAAAAATATTTCTATTCAATCACATCGCCCTTCGCACCCAATCTTTGCGGATCTTGACTAGGATAATAAACTTTCGTGGCTGACGCTGGTATGTACGGTGCTGTCCCTTTGTAAGATATCTGAAATTCACACAATATACTTAAGGATAGAGCATAATTCTTCCACGAATCCTTTGAGAATAAAACTAGCCATACCCTGCGAACTGTGATTAAATTAGTAACACAAAATTATAAAAAAAATTTCATCAATGCAGGAAAAATGTTTCACCTGAGGTACAATGAGCTGTGCAGGAGGTGTGTACGTTGCAGCTGGAGGTAAAGGAGGCATTGGTATGTGATCAATACGTGCCCGCTTAGATGAATTAGCTTCTTCATCGAATAAATCCGGTAATGGACATGCTAAAAATAACAAACGATTAACATTAGCTGCAAGACTGGAAAATTCTGTATGCAGTACTTTCGTCATTTTCTCCTCACTAATGTTCCGTTAACTTCAGAAATGAAAAAGGAAAAATCTAAAATGTAAACATTGCAAAAAGAAATATCTACACATAGAAATTCAGACTAAACTGCGTGGTCCAATTTGACTTAAAAAGCAACGCGAAAAAAATTTACGATTAGGGAGGCCTGCGACTGGTTCCGCTCTCTTCTTTTCTTCTTGTGTATTCTGTGCTTGAGGCCGGCCCCACCTTATTTTCAGTCGTCTCCCTAAAACACCCAATAATGTTTGGTAAAGAATAGTTTTCAATACATGATAGTGTTACTGACTGAGTTGATCTGTCACTAACAAAGAACATTAAATGAGCACTGTGTGATAGAAAAATTGTCAAATTAAAATAATGCGAACAGGCACAGTTACCTTGCAGGATAAGTTTATTGAATGAACGTTCTGCAGCCTTTTCAGCAGCTAGTCGCGTAGTGAATGATATGAATGCACATCCTTTATTGGGCAACAAATTAAGACTACGTATCTCACCAAACTGATAAAAATAATCCCTGAAAAACTGTTCCGGTAGCAAGTAGTGGAAAAAGCGACTTCGTTTATTTTAGTTTAACGTAAAACTTCTGCACATCAAATATTTCTAAGAAAGTGTAATAAATCCAACCTCAAAGCGACTTCGCCTATCATTCCAGCTGGACCTAAATCACCAACATACAATGTAGTAATAGTAGTATCTTCTGGAGCTTGTAGTACAGGGAGTGCTTTAGCACGAGTCAGAAGTTTTTCCGCAACTGGATCATTGTTCCCGTAATAACGATCTCGCATGTTCTGATGACTTAACGGATCGTCAGGATCTGAAGGCTTTTCATGCCTGAAATACTAAGTGCTCAATAAAATTTCAAAAAGGGCTACTGAAAGAAAGAAAGCAAAATACAGACCTATATGGGCATTCTTCACCACGTCTGCATTCCCCTTTAACGAAGAATGAGCAAATGTGTGGTTTGTTCCGTTGATAATATGGTTGATTTCGGGCAAGTTTCTTCAGCAAATCATTTGATGCTATAAGAAATACTTATTTGCAAAACATCAACTTAATTATAAACTTCATTCTGTAAACTCGGTATGCTCTCTACAAAGTTATTGGACACATTAGTTTGAAACCAGAAAATACTCTACGAAAAAATGGATAAAGTGAGAGAAAACCAACCAGAGTCAGTTATTTTAGCAAGAGCACCACCAGGTGTAGTACCATCAGTAAGAGCTAACTCCCGCTCTTGATTCTGAATGTAATAGTCGCGGTTCGCGCCTTGCCTCGGCAAATCATCATGTATTTGTAATGCGTGGTCACGAACTTGTACAGGTAAACCTAAAATTCGCGTTTAACGTCAAGTAAAACACCGTTTAGTCTGACAAACTTGGACTTAAACAAAAATATCACTTGCCGAATTCGAGATCCAAAAGACAAGTCTGACAAACGTTCTTCATTTTGGCACACGTCTGACATACTTCCGTTTTCTTATATCGCATTCCTTTCCCCGGCATCCACCGGAAACAAGTAAAGGGACGTTGACAAATTTTGCATTCTGCTCCATGCCGATCTTTCAGCTGAAAATTTAACTCTAAATCTATTGCATTACCCATACCGGGGAAAAGATTGCGAAAATTCACATTACCACTCAACAAATTTCGAGGACTTTTCTTACCATTCTTATATATGGATTTGATCCAAGACATGTCTGGCAAAGGATCGGGAATTCCTGAAACACATAACATATAAAGACCATTCAAAGTTGAATTTACTTAAAAATTATAAAAACACAAAGTACCCGAGTCTTGTACTCTCCGTATCGACTAATATGCGTTTAAGCTTGATAAGATTTGCAATACACGAGGCAAATGCTTACCGAATCTTCCCAGGTTTTCCGATTATACTGGTACGATGATTTTGATAGTGCCATGTGGTACCTACTTCACTAATTAATGAATTCTATTTTCAAGATTCCCTGAAAAAACAAGTGAAAATTTCAATCACATTAATCAACGAAGCAACAAATTAGAACAACAATAAACAGCAATACATAGTTAATCCATAACTATGTCTACTAGATGGTTGCAGTGATCCAAAACGGCCAAAATACTTAATTAAATCGAATGGAATAATCCCAATCTAAAACTCTAATTAACCAAATCATCAAAGGGATCACTACATTTCGTGGAGAATTATCCTGTACCTGCAATTCACTAACGCCGAACCCTCAACTACCAGAGCTATTTTCATCAAGGATGGTTCATTTCATATTGGCCCTCAGCGTGTAGGTTCACGGTTGCATTACGCAAATCACGTACCAGCCCAATGCTTAATGCTGTAAAGCGGTCTTGCGGATTCTGTTGGTTATGATTGGCTTAGTATCTCATTACTGTTCTGCAACTTTTATTTTATTGTCAAGTTCGGGTTGCTCCTTTCATTTTATTGAAAACAGTTATCGCCATAAATGTCTAAGCCGTGGTGTTTTCCGGTTTGAAGAAAAACGAATTAAGCAAAAAATTGCACACAGTGCAGTTTCTTGCACTTTCATTTTAATTTTTGTTAAATTTCGAAATTATTCTAACATTGTTGTGAAGCAGGATGTATAGGTATTGCATACAAAAGAAATCATAGGTTGTTGACCAACTGCAGTTCTATTCAAAATGGTTCGGTAGGTTTAGGACTAAACTGATATCAACATTCAGCCGTCGAAGCGCTTGGTGACTGGACGTTTATTCATTTTGTTCCTATAATTAATCGTATTTGTCGTTGATTTGAATTCCAAATTAGTATCTTATATAGTGATCTTCTTTAATTGTTACAAGTTCACTAATGTTGCGCAGAAGGCCATAGGAAAATTTAAACTATTGGAGATGTGTTATATTGCAGCACGGATGATTTAATTTTTTTCTTCGGGTTTTTTTTTGGAAGTTTCTAA